TTTAATCTTTTTCCCTTCATCTAAATATGGCCATTAAACGCCATTCAATTTGGTTTGATTCATTCAGTTTAAACTGATGCTCAACTAAACTTGCAATTTCGGGGATAAAAGTACGAATAAAAGGGCCAAGGTGCAGTGAATAGTTTGTTTATTTGTTTTTGTCGAGTCCATATTTTATGGAAGAATAGTTGCAGAGCCTCAACGGGGATTGGACATCTTTCCCAATTTTGAGGGAGAGCACGCCGGGAGGTCGGGGGATCTTCCAACCCTCTACCCTACAACCAAACCACTCTAAAGCACTTTCAGCTCGCCATATATTTAGAGTGCTCCCATTCCGCAAATACCTGTACACTTACTACATATTCATGCCTTCTCCGGGAGTCGGACCCGGGCCATTCTGTACCGCAGTCAGAGTCACTAACCACTATCCCGTCTGGGTGGTTGCACTGAATTTACTACTATTATATATATAATAATATTCAAAATAATATAAAAAGGCAATAAAATTCAGTAATATAAAAAGGCAATAAAATATAATAAAATCCACATGATGGAACAAAATATGTTATGTGCATTACGTATGTACAGTAAATGCATAAATGTATACATAATGTAACAAATTCGAATCTAGATTTTGCGTAATGTCCTAAATTATCATGGGACAAATGTAGGAGATTCATATTATAGGAAAAAATCTACTTAATACAGGAAATGCTTGACACTTGAAGTAACACAATTCTGTTTTTTACACGTCACTATTTCTGTCTTCAAGCCGAAAGATAGTACTTGGATATTACTTACTTATCTCTTAGTAATAAGCAATTAAAGTACTTCTCATTATTTGCGCTGACTGGTGCATATTCGTCTGATTATTAGATCTACAGCATTTCATGCAGTCGTATTAGATAACAAAAAAAAACATGGTTTAGCAAATTTTCGTAAGTTAAAAAATCACTCTTCTCCTTTTATTAAAGCAAGAAGGATAAAAAAATATTAATTAAGCGATATTCTAGGATTTTTTAATATGCTGCAATCTGGTAATGAACAGAATTTCCCAAGCTTTCTGGCTTTGGCTGAAAGATAAGTAATTTACTTTGAAAACATGGTTTCAGGAATGTGTAATTATTGTACGCCATATTATCTTTTCCCTTGGGCAATGTTTCTCTGATGTTAATTTTACATATCTATTTATTTATCTTATTGTTTTTATTTTTTTATTCTTCCTCGAGAAACCTATTTGCAAACAAATTAAGACTGTGAAGTCTTTTGCCATTTTATAAGTACTATGTTTTAAAAAAAAATTTGTTCGCATTTGGTTTTCAATATATTTCTTTAATCTCGTTTTCTTCTTGCTAAAAATTTTACTTTGGATTCCTTGCATGATTCAACAGAGTTTAAGACTCATTAGGCTTTTTTTTTAAATCAGACGTGAAAAATGTGCTCTGCCCTCGCCGGTACTTGAACTTGGAGCTCTAGAAAACGCACCGAGTGTACTACCGTTACCCCACGAAGGCATATAGAAAGGAGGGAGAAAATACCTTATGTGCTCCTCCTTTTAAAGTACGACTGGGGATTAGGGAACCCAATCCCCAAATCCTGGTGATAAAGAATCATCATCCACCACCTTTTAGTTCGGGCGCCACTGTAGAGACATTAGGTTATTTTGAAGCTGAGGCATGAAAAATGAGCAGTGACCTCGCCGGTCTTGAACACGCGCCGAGTGTGCTACCGTTACACTATGAAAGCATGCAGAAAGGAGGGAGAAAATACGTTATAATTTCTTTAAAGTTAATCGCAATCAAATTTACTTTATCATTTATAAATGTTTCCATTTTATAAGTTTATATAAATATTTCTCAGCATTTTATTTTCAAATTTGACTCTCTTAATTTTGCTGTAATAGATAGTGTTATATTGATATTGACTTCTAAGGCAGATTTAGCATTTAGCATTCATTTCCTTCCATGAATCTCCTTTTATCTTTCTATACTCCTTATTTTCGATTAAAGTACATGTAATAACAGAGTCTTAATAGAACAATGGAACGTTATCGACAATGGAATTTCTTATGCTATCCATTTCCCATTTTACTCTGCACATTTCATCAAGTATCGATAAAAATAGGCTTATAGAATAGTTCTACAAGATTAGTCATAAAGTTTTAAAATAACATTTAAATTTTTCTTTGCTTTCATATTAATATCAAAGACCAAAGAATGAATTTTTATCAGCATGTTCAAATATTATTATTTTAATGATAAGTATATGCATGAAACAAACGGCAGTGTATTCAGATAATTTTTGTTTGGCATAAGGCACAACACTATATTCTTTACAGCTACGATTGGTATTAAGATTCAAATCTTGAAGTTATTCATAATTTGCTTCTTCAAGGCAAAATTTCTCGAAATTTCGCCCGCTTTAGAAACAAAAACCAACAAAAATAACCCAAAGTAGTACATTAAAATGAATTATTTAATAATACAAAGTGCATTTAAACAACCCAAATTACATTAAATAAGTTAAATATGAAAATGCGGATTTTTTACGGAAGGGAAGACGAGATATGGCATGTGTCCAACTTTGTGTATAGATGGTATCATGGCCAAAGTGGTGTACGTGGACATCTTAGAAAGTGTTACCATCAGAAGAAATGAACAGACCATTGAAATGACTCTGTGGACAAGATAACGATTCAAAGCATTAGTAGAGCTTATGAAAAGCTGATTCGAACGAAACAGGAATTATGTTCTGCCACGCCATTCTAAGACGCCGGATCGAAATTCCAAATAAAAATGTATGGCACGAAATAAAGAAAAAATAAAAAACCAAGTTATTTGAAGGTACGTGCCAAAATTTAGTTGACTCAATGTCAAAGAGAACTTCTGAACTCCTTAAATGAAGAATTTGCATCTATATATTAATAACAAATTTAAAATGTTTTTAATAAACAACGTATTTTTTCTACGTAACAAGTTATTTATATTTTTTTGCAATCCGTTTTTTTGGCGGAGGGAAGGACAGTTCATTGAAAAACACTTTCACTTGAAACTATTGTCTGTGATGATACTTAACGAATGAATACACTGTATCACCAGATTTCCAATAATGCATTTTACCCTTAATCTTCTAAATAAATAAATTTGTGCTAGAATTCATGACCCAATTTACCTAATTTTCTGCAATTATTCATAAGTCATTCTATTTTTTCAGCTGTCTATTAATAATAATGTATATTTGCATCGGAAGACTTTATGTTCCATTGTTAAAAGCCCTATGATTTTAAGTGACGATGAGGTCAAATTTATAAATCAAATAGAAATTTAAACAAATTGAAAATAATGCCATCATGTAAATCGAAAGATACCACAATCAAGGTAATATTTTAATATACTTTACGTTACTTTAATTACATTCAGCTATGAATAAACCACATATTGCAATGTAAGATAGGCAGTATAACAAATCTGCTTAAATTTATCTCAGGTGATATATCAATACTTTGTGCTTCTCGGGCCTATCAATTAACATTCCTGATACATTTATCATATATATATATATATATATATATATATTTGCATAATTCTGATCTTTTAGAAAATTAAATTCGTACAAATATTACACTTTCAAAACACTTCTTAGCAAACAAAACTACAGTCTCACCCATCAATACAAAAGCCTAACATCAAGAGGTCGTTGTATAAGCATAGTATTTTATATTCTATATGCGTTGTATAGTTAAAATAATCTAGTACCTCCCCAGTGGACTGTCCCGTGAAACATATAGGCATGTAACTATGGGCATATATGCAGTGTTGTAAATACAGATGCTTTATTTTTCTAACATTACTACAATACTAATTATGCTATTTACAATACTAATATTATTCATTTAAGATAAGGCATTGGCAGTAGTTAAAATCGTGATTTACGAGTGAATGTAAAAGTTTTACTAATGAAGGTTACGATAAGTCAGCGTTTCCCAACCTTTTTTGGCCAAGGCACACTTGTCGCGGGGAAAAAAATCACGAGGCACACCACCATTAGAAAATGTTAAAAAATTAACTCTGTGCCTATATTGACTATAATAAAGTAATTCTCTTGAATAGGAATCAAATAAGCACAAAGAAAGTATTTTATAATTACTTTATTATGAAATATTAAGTAAACAGAATAGTGAAAAATTATAAAATACTTTCAGTGCGAAACCTGGGCCTGTTTGGCTGAACACAAAGCTGATATTCTGGCTGGAATCGAAGAAAGACACACACGTGGCTCTTCGTCAACAGTTCTCAGTCTCTCTTGTGTTTTGGTTTTCATAGCAATCATGCTTGAAAAGCTAATCTCACACAGATATGTAGGGAAAAAGGGAGCAATGTCAAATAGCTTTGTTTGCCAGAAGGGGGAACTCCTTGGCAGTATCCAACCAAAAACTGTCCAAGGTAGATCAGCAATCTTAGCTTGCAACCACGATTTTGTCTCAGTTCAATTAGTTCCTCCTGCTCCTGTAAAGTCCTTTCCTTTCCAACAACTGATGCTGAGCTCTATAAGGGTCCCTAACCCAGTCAAGGCATTCAGTGGAGACTGAAGAGAATAAAATGACAACTTCTCCTCAAGAGTTTTTTAAATGCTTAACTATTATCTCACACAGTGCAGCAGTGTGAACACCTTGCCATTGCATGGTGAGTGTGAACATTTCAAGATTGCCACTTTCCACGTGTTGATGCCAGAGTTGCACTTTGAACGGAATCCTTTTTTATCTGTACTTGTAAGCAGGTTTTCATTTCGGCCTTGCATTCGGGTGTTCAATTCATTCAGATGATGAAATATATCTGCCAGGTATGCCAGCCTTGCACACCACTCATCACTTGCAAGCTGCTTTGCGTAATCTGACCCCTCATTTGTCAGAAACACTTTAAGTTCCTCCCGCAGCTCATACACACGAACCAAGACCTTGCCACGCGACAACCACGGACCCTCCGTATGAAAACAGCAAGGTTTTATTGCTTTGCTCCCATCTCCTCACACAAAGCTGCAAATATGCGACTTTTCATGGGTCGTGACTTTACAATGTTTACCATGCGCACAACATCATCCAACACATGAACTAAGGCTGATGGTAAAGTCTTGGCTACGAGGGCCTCGCGGTGTAAAAAACAATGCGTAATAATCACATCTGGATTTCTTTCCTTCACTCTGCTTACAAAGCTTTTGGTGCGCCCGACCATAGCTGCAGCTCCATCGGTGCAGACACTTGTGCAGTTTTCCCACTTAAGTCCTCCTTGTTCAAGGTATTCTGATGTGACCCGAAAAATTTCTTCTCCTGTTGTTTTTTCTGGCAATACCTTGCAAAAAAAGAAGTTTTCTCTAATTGCATCACCATCAACAAAACGCACATTAGCTAAGAGTTGAGCATGTCCACTGATATCAGTAGACTCGTCAAGTTGCAATGCAAATTTTCCACTGATACGGATCTTTTTCCAAAACCACACTTTCGATGTCTGCAGAATGTCATTAATACGTCTGGAAATTGTGTTGTTTGAGAGAGGGACTTTGGCTATTTCCTTTGCTGCTTCAGGTCCGAGCATCTCCTCTACAATAGCTTTGCAGGCAGGAAGTATTAATGTCTCTGCCACAGTGTGCGACTTTTTTGTCTTGGCTATAAGTTTCAGCAACTTGGTAGTAGCTTTAAGAGCTCTTTCATTTACCTTTGTTGTTTTTCTCATAAAAGTTGCCTGTTTTCTCCATGTTGTCACGCAGGCGAACAAAATAGTCCACATTCTTGTTTTGAAGCAAAGGGTGTTTCGTTTGGAGATGGCGTTTAAGTTTGCTTGGGACCATAGCACTGTTAGCTAGCTTTTCACCACACACCACGCACAGTGGGAGTTGGTTTGTGTTCATCTCCAGTGAAAGTAAATCCAACTGAAATATAGCTTTCGCTATATTGCCTTGCGCCAGAGAATTTAACCATCTTTGCTTTCTTTTGACCCCCACTCATACTCGGGCTCTCATCTGGCTCCAGATTTTGTTCACAGTCCAGTTCTTTCCTTTTCAAAAAGAGCCCACCAGCGGCCGAGCGGTAAAGACGATGAACACTGGTAGTTCGGTCTGAGGTTCGAATCCCGCGAACGGGCTGGCTGCAAGGGCGTTTTCGTGGTTTTCCCCATGTGTAACGTGTATACGAGCCAGTTTCCCTTAGAAAGTCCTCCACGAAAGGCATCCCTCCCTTTAGGCAGATAGCCCTCGTGTGCTTTGCCATAACTGAATAATCCAATCCAATCCTTTTCAAAAACTTGTCCATCACTGCAGTATCAGTGTCTCTCTCCTCACAGCAGCCGTTGTCTCTCTGACACTGTGTGAGGCGTCTGCCTGCGCCTCATGGGGGCGGGGACACGGCGGACACTTGTCAAGATTGGCAGGGGGAGGAGTTATAGCACTGCACAGCGCCGTGACCACCTATGACACTGGCGGGGGGAGTGGTGGGAGGAGTTATAGCGGGCGAACAGCACCGTGACACCCAGACCCGGCGGCACACCACGGTGCTTCAGACGGCACACTGGTGTGCCGCGGAACAGCGGTTGGGAACCGCTGCGATAAGTTATGATTTACGAATGACACATTAACTTAAATGATTTCTAGTGATAGCGGTCACGTATTCAGCTTATAATATTCTTGACACAAAATTTTCCTTACATTCACTGGAATTTGCGAGAATTTATAGCTAGTATAATTAGTATTTTACTAAGCAAACATCAAAAAAAGGTTCTCTATTTTTGCTAATAAGAACTCATATTTCTGTATACAAGTATTACGTATGTTCACTTAAATTAAAATAGAGATTCATGGGAATTATTTAGATTTCCTTTTACAAATTATCATGATGAAGATACTGTTATCAACACCTAATAGCTTTTATGAAAAGATGACCGGTTAAGAGAAGAAATGTTGAGAACAGGTACTCATACGGTATGAAAGAACTGAGGTATGGATGAATATATAATATGAAAGGTATGGATATTTAGTTTAAAAGAGAGTTTTATACCTTCAGAAAGAAATCAGTTAGAAGTGAATATTAATGTTAAGCAACTCAGAAACTTCAGGATGAACTAAGTACTTTAGGAGTATAAAATTTTATGCTTCTTAGTGAGAAGATGAAAGATTTATCACAATAAAACTTCCAAACCTTAGATACCGAGAAGACTCTACTAATATATCTTTTTTCTTGATTTATGGTGAAATACTGCTGAGGTTTATTTCTAAATCATCTCGCACACTGATTCCCTGGGACGGACATACATCTTCTTCATAAATGACAACATCTCCGGCAGTTCAATATAGCATACACAAATTATTCTATGAAGAAAAAGAGAGCTTAAGTTTGCAAAAATAAATCAAAGGCAGCTTTAGGCTCGATTCTAGACATTTTTGCCACGTTTAACCATCAGGAGCTCAGGTCTCTGTTCATTTTCTTGGGAACTTAGAGTCATTTTTACTGCAGTTCTCGACAGCATGTTGAAGCCTCGAATGATTAAACCAGGAGATCAACCCACGTTTCAGGTATTTTGAATAACCTTAAAATGTCTCTATATTTCAGCCCAAGTAATCTTCAAATGACTGCTGCATACACGTTTATTTTGTTTTAAAACTTTACTATCCTCTCTTATTTTCTACTTTCGGCCAGAATAAACGCGTTAATCTGTTTATGCAAATTGCACTTGCTAACACTTAAGTATTTAAGTTGTGGCTTTCACGTGAGCTTTCAATCAGTTAATGTCCGCCTTTAAGGCCAGAGGTTTAGTCCTCTTGATATTTAAGACGTATTATAGTTTTCCGCAGTTTGCGTTCTACATACGTAATAATCTGAAAGGCCAATTTTAGTGTTAGTCATCGGTGTAAAGTGTTCAAAGTTAGCTCTTATTTTAATTTAGTTAGTTAGTAGTTCTTATATCTTTAAGTTCAGACCACAAGTGGTTGTTGCTTGTCTCCCGAAGTGCGAGAGCACCTGTAATATCGTGGAGAATAAAGGGTAAAGTTAACCCTTCTTACTTGTATTTGCCATTCCACGCATACACGAACATAGCTTGAGTAAACTCCCTGTTCCCATTTAGGACATTAGATGTTTTCTGAACAGATTAGAAAATCAAACAGTCCTGATAAAGACATACAACAACAATGATAATGATCGAAGAGAAACATATCAAAATGATTTGATATATTTCTCTTGATATATTTCTTTCTTTAAATTAAAAAAAATATATAAAAATGATTGCATACTGACCAATTTCAACTGAAAATTTCTTATTATTACAAGGAAAAAAGTTTTATTTTTACACCATGCAACAACAATAATGTTATATTATATATCTGTATATCTGTATATATTATATATCTGTATAACAATAATGTTATATGTTTTTATCCATGGTTATTTTACCATGAATATTGCGATAACCAAAAATACTTTTCTTCATCATCTAGTGCATTTGATCCATGTAGGGTAATTTTTTTTAATGGCACGGCATTTTAGATTTGATAAAGATCTGTATTTAAACAGCACTTATTACCTAAATTTACAGGATAACTTATTTTAGTCTCTCTTTTTAAAAAAAGTAAAATATACTATAATTAAAATCTTCGCAGCATACACTTATCCTGGAAAATTTTCTAGGTTGATTTGGACTAAATGATTATAGCAAAGCACACTGCGTAACTGGAGAGATGCTTCCGTGGAGGACTTTCTACAGGAAACTGTCTCATATATTCTTTAAACAAGAGAAAAACGGCAATGCAACAAGCCCGTTTGCCTGGAATCGAACCCACTTCGGAACTACCAGTGTTCAGCAATTTTATCGCTCGGCTGCTGGAGGGTCAAAACATATTCTAGGAGTAACTGTAGAAAATTAAGTTAAATGTAATAAAAGACAGCTGAAAATTCTTATTATAACATTATTATGATATTCTAATCAGATAACAATTCACCTAATATCTTGAGTTACTTAATATTTGTATAAAACTAAGTGTATGGAATTAATGAAGCAAAGTGTGTAATAAAATCATTAATATAATATCATTATTAATGGAATTAATAAAGTAAGATACATAATAAAAAGCAGATTTAATTAAAATAAAAATTATTTATTTCAATTAATTGTAAAATTTATTAAAGGAGTAACACATAACAAATAGGAGTTATAATTTTGCTTCCTTAAGTATATAAAGAATGTTTAGTGAAAAAAAATGTTTCGTTAATACCCTTTGATGTCTTTGCAATACAGTAATTGAGTTTAGATTTCGTAATAGTGTACTTAAATGGCAAAATTGTACTTTTTAAATAAGAGCTTTAAGTTCTTTTTTAAGATTATTAATCTTCTAAAAATTTTATATGTACTGAGATTATTTTAAGCGGATAATTATAAAATAGATAATTTATATTGCAGGTTCAATTTAATTGACAATTTCATGCTTTCAGAGATATATGTATCAAAAAGCTTTGTTCAAATTAGCATTAATGAAGTCAGAATCTCGTATCTAATATTTAGCAGTGAACTGCTGATTGAAATGGGTTCATACATTTGAAACATACTGTGATAATGTCACATAAAAGAAGAAGAGACTGAAGATTTATATGGACACTGATGTCTCGTGAGCGTAAGCTGAAAATTAAATCGTTGGAATGTTAAAAAACGCAAGCTCGAGAGCCACGAATTCCTCTCGCACGTAAAATGTATAGAATTTGATTTTTAAGGAAAAAGATTTAGGTTTTTTCTCTTCTGAATTGTATGTAGCCCTTTTTTTTGGGGGGGGGCGTTCAATAAAATTTTCATGTGGTGTTCCGTCATTAGCGTTTTCATTGGAGTTCAACATCACCCCGTTGAAGCATTAACACTACACCACAATACATAAAAGAAAGTTATCTGAATTTCACTTAATTTGTGCATAAATAAGAAAACTTTCTTTAACAATTATTGAATTTTAATGTCCAAGTGAATTTTAAACTTTTCTTTGTAGAGACATTAGGTATTTTGGAAGCAGGAAAGATGAAAAATGAGCAACACCTTCTTCGGGACTCGAACCATGGACCTCTGGAATACGCGCCCAGCTCGCAGACCACTACACTACGAAGGTATGCTAAGAAGACGGGAGAAATACTTTATATACTTCCCCTTTTCAGGGAAGACTGGGGTTTTTTAGGGGATCCAATCGCCAAATCCTAGGTGTGGAGAGTCATCACCCACCACAATTTTAGTTCGGGCTCCACTTTAGAGACATTAGATATTTTGGAAGGAGGAAAGATGAAAAATGAGCAAAGCCTTCGACCGGAACCGAACCACGGAACACAGCGTGCAGACCACCACACTACGAAGGCATGCTAAGAAGGCGGGAGAAATACATTATAACTTTGCTGGATGAAAATACTTGTTTCAATTAAAAGTTTTCTGCCGCCCAGATGGTATAGTGGTTAGGAAAGCCTGACTGCGATACTAAAGAGCCTGGGTTGAAATCCCGGAGAAGGAATGGATCTAACTGTCCGTCCCTTGATAGGAGGTAATGGTGGCCTACTTATTAGGTGCCTCCATAATAAAGAGACGATCAAATCTGGCCTTGTATAGATTAATGGACTGTGTTACACTGTACCTTTTCACAATCTTCCACTGGAAAAAAAAATTAAGGTTTTCTAATCCTTGTTTGCTTATGTAAAAAAAAGATTATCTCTGAGTTATTTTTCGGATATAACATTATTTGGATTCTTCAAAATAATTCTTCGGCAGAGAAAGTAATT